CAGAGCTGCACGGACCCACGGCCAGATCCCCGGAGCCCCACGAACCCACAGACGGACCCCCAGAGCTGCACGGACCCACGGCCAGACCCCCGGAGCCCCACGAACCCACAGACGGACCCCCAGAGCCGCACGGACCCACGGCCAGACCCCTCGGAGCCCCACGAACCCACAGATGGACCTCCAGAGCCACACGGACCCACGGCCAGACCCACAGATGAAGCCCTGACCACCGGTGAGCTCACAGCTGTGATCCCCCAAGGGGGAGGGGATCTCTGCACCGCCCCTGGTTTCTAACCCCCTCCCCCTTTGTCTTGCAGACCCCGTTGGGGGGCCCGGCCTGGCGCCCTGGCAGGGGGAGGGAGCAGGCGACGGGGCCCCCCCGGGGCAGCCCCGTCCCTACCTCCTGGCGGTGCTGGTGCTGTTGGGCATCACCTTGCTGCTGGTGGGGGCCCTGACCTACGTGCTCTGCCGGAGGAGCCGGCGGCCCCCCCGGGGACCCGCCCCCCCCCACAGAGACCCAGGTAAGTGGGGCAGCGGGGTTAGGGGGCTCTGCTTCCCTGGGGGGACTGGCTATTTACCCCTGGCTCTGTGCCCCCCAGCACCCCCATAGCCGATCCACCCCCCGTCCCTGGTCTGTGCCCCCCACGTTCCCCCCCACGGCCAATCCACCCCCCATCCCTGGTGTGTGCCTCCCATGTTCCCCCCCACAGTCGATCCACCCATCCCTGATCTGTGCCCCCCTGCACTCCCCGGACCCAGGGAGTGGGGATTTGTTTCCCCTCCCCATTTACCCCCCCCACGCCCACTCTCCTGCTATCCATGGGGAGCTCTCGGAGCGGGTCCTGGCCATGCTGGGTTCGGGGGGACCTCGGTTTGCTCTTACCCCCCCCGTTTTGTCCCCCCCCAGGCACCGGGACGCCGTACTACCCCTGCGAGCTGGGCTGACGGATGGCGCCACCTGTCGGCTACCCCCACGAACGGACCCCAGCACCCCACTGATTTCGTTGGGGGGTGGGTGGAGGGTGATGGTATGCGAGGGGAGAGGGCGTTGGGGGTCTAATCGCCCAGCCCACCCCCTCCACTTGATGAACGGACCCCGACGTCCGGGGGGGGCCCCGCAGAGCTGGCCCCCCCCGCACTAAGCTAATCGCTAACCACAGACGAGGTACTCCAGCTCTGGGGAGACGCCAGCCCTGCCCCCGCCCCCCAGAGCCCCCACTAATTTATTCCCTGGAAGAGCTTAAATACAGATGTTTGTACAAGGCTGCGGCTGGTTATTCATGGGGGGTGGGCATGGTTTTGGGGGTCCCTGTATTTGTGCCGGGGGCGGTTCTCCGAGGCTTTCTCTGTGGGGGGGGGGCACCTGGAACTGGCCTGAACCCCCAGCGTGCAAGGGGCCCCTCCCCCAGAGACGGATGGGGGGGCAACTCTGGAGAGAGGAACCCCCCCACTCCCCCCGGCTACCAGACATTTTCACTTCCTCTGTGCGGAGGCCGGAGCGGGGGCGGGATCGGTGAGGAATCAGGATGTGTATGTGTGTGTGTGGGGGGGGGAGGAGTGAGGGGCTCCCTCCTCCCGCACTTCCAGGCATGGGGCTGCCCCATTGCCAGCTCGTGCCCCATCCACCCCCCTACCCCTGACCGAGGTGCTCAGCGTGGGGCAATTTGGGTTTTTTCCCCCCTTTTATTTAACACAGGCAGTAGAAAAAAACAGCCCCCCCCATCGCCGGTGGGGCCCCCCCCCAAGCCAAGAGCCGCGTGGGTCACCGCATGTTCCCGGTACGCCCAGGGGGTGGGGGGGACCAGTCCATATGTTGGAGCGTGGCCCAGTCGCCGTGTCGATCCCACGCCAGGCCTGAGATCCTGTGTGTCCTGTGTTGTCATGTGTCCTGTGGGTCACGTCTGTGGCAAATTGCGCCACGCTCCCCCAGCAGAGCCTGTCCCGCCTGACGCGCAGAGCGAGCGAGCGGCCAGCCGGCGGGTCCTGTGTCCTTAGTGTGTTCTTGGTGTGTCCTTGGCGTGTTCCCGCGTGGGCTCCGTGTCCGGCCGGCGGGCGGGCGCCCCCTATTGCTCCAGCGTGTGCTCACAGGTGCGGGCCAGCTCTCCCAGCTTGACGCGGGCGTAGTCGACGCGGTTCAGCGCCATCTGGCAGCCCTTGCGGGCCGAGTAGCTGGAGCCCTCGTGGGGCTGCCCCGTGGCCACCTGTGTGTGTGGGGAGATGGCAGAGAGGGGGGTGAGCCTGCGCGCCCCACGGCCCCGCCCCCCCACGCCGGCCCCGCCCCCTCACCTGGGTGAGGTACCGGATCTGCCCCGAGAGCTCCGACTCCACCTTCTGCACCGAGGCGGTGAACTGGGCGGCCTGGCGCTCCAGCAACCGCTCGTTCGGCTTCTCCTTCGACAGCTCCAGGATCACGTTCCCTGGGGGGGCACGGGGGTGAGGGGGCGCCCCGATAACCCCCCCGCCTCCCCGAGGGGGAGCCTCGTCCCAAAGCGCCCCCCTGTTCCGGGCCTGACCCGCTGGCGGGATCCACCCCGGCACTGCTCCCCCCATCACCATGACCTCCCACAAGGGATTAGTGTTGCCAACTTTCTAATGGCACCAAACCGAACACGGAGGCCCCGCCCCTTCCCCCAGGCCCCGCCCCCGATCATTGCATTCCCCCTCCCTCCGCGGCTTCCTCTCCCCCACCCTCACTCACTGTCACTGGGAGGGGCCGGGGATGAGAGGATTGGGGGGCAGGAGGGGGCCGTGGGGGGTTCGGGGACTTGAGGGGTTTGGGGGGCAGGAGGGGACTGTGGGGGGCTCAGGGCTGGAGCTGAGGGGTTTGGGGGGCTGGAGCTCAGGGGTTCGGGGGGCAGGAGGGGGTTGTGGGGGGCTCAGGGCTGGGGATGAGGGGTTTGGGGGGCAGGAGTGGGCCGTGGGGGGCTCAGGGGTGGGGATGAGGGGTTTGGGGGGCAGGAGTGGGCCGTGGGGGGGCTCAGGGGCTGGGGAGGGGGTTGGGGCGCGGGGTAACCTCGGGGGGCTCCCAAGCAGTGGGGGGTAAGGCTGGCTGCCTGGCCTGACAGGGTGATGTGCGCGCCCCCCGGAAGTGGCCGGACGGTGGGGCTCCTAGGTGGGGGGGTGGGAGGCTCCATGGGCCCCGCCCCCTCGCTCCCATTGGTTCCCGGCCCAGGGGCATGCGGAGCCGGGACAGGTGGGGACTCGCCTGCCTTAGCCCCGACCGGACGTTTACCTGCTCGGTCAGTGCTGCCGACCGGCGCCGCCAGGTCCCCTTCGATGGGGCGTTCGGGTCGACAACCGGACACAGGGTCCCCTGCCCCCTGGCCCCGCCCGCCCGTTAGCCACGCCCCTTGCAGCCCGACCCCGCCCGTTAGCCACGCCCCTGGCCCCGCCCCTACCAGCGTTGTGCAGTCAGGCCCCGCCCCCGCCAGTTAGCCCCGCCCACTGGCCCCGCCCCTACCCGCGCTCTGCAGTCAGGCCCCGCCCCCGCCCGTTAGCCACGCCCCTGGCCCCGCCCCTACCCGCCCTCTGCAGCCAGGCCGCGCTCCCGGGCGCTGGCCCCGTCCCTACCCGCGCTGGTCCCGCCCCTACCCGCGCTCTGCAGCCAGGCCCCGCCCCCGGGCGCTGGCCCCGCCCCTACCCGCGCTCTGCAGCCGGGCCCCGCCCCTACCCGCGCTCTGCAGCGAGGCGCCGATCTCGCGCTCCAGCTCCTCCAGCACCCGCAGCCGCTCGTTGGCGACGCTGTAGGTGGCCATGGCCCCGCGCGCCCCGCCGCTCTCAGCGCATGCGCGGCCCGGGCTCCGCCCCCTCCCCTTCTCGGCGCTACATTGCGGCGGCGGCACACGTGACCCGGAAGCGATGGAGGGGGCGGGGCCCGGCCCGGCCTGGAGGCGCCACGTGCGCCGGGAGCTGGAGCGGCGGGAACGCGAGACGCGGCGGCTGCAGGG